TAACGTTCTATTCCAGAAGCTGGGGTCCCCATGTTCTGAAAAGAACAAGGGCTTGCTCTGAGAAGAGCAAGAGATTAGAGAGATTAATGTCCTCTAGACGGAATTTTGATCACAGCCAAGTCCCTACTATTATTAGATAGACTAGCGATTCTTTGCAAGATAGCATTATAATACACGTGTGTGTGCGTAAGTGCAGATGTAATCTCTATTCTATCACTCTCATGGTCCAATGGAATGGAAATCCGGTAGGAACGGCGCTCCGACATAGATACGATTTAGCGCAGAACTAAGGCTTCACGTGCTTGCAGGCATGAGGTTGAAACATCGCCTCCACTGCCGCTTCCTGACTACGAACTGCTACAGAGAATTTTATGAGAAAAAATCAATAGAAGTAATAGTATCAACGCGCGCACTGCCTGCTTTCACGCGACCATGCGTAAGCGGTGCGCGTCACTGGTGCGCAGAGTACGGGCCAGGTCCAATATTATTCTGAAAATGATAGTATGTATATATATATATATATATATATATATATATATATATATATATATATATATATATATATATATATATGTCCTATCCTCTGGCATTGCTGCGACAAACACGTCCCAGTAATTGTGGGAGGTAGAAGATACTAAATAATAATATATGTGTTAGTTATTATTGTGTTTATACGTTATGTTATGTATGTTAGTTATTGTATTTTCATGACATATTATTATTATTTATTATCAATTGATTAATGTTTTTAAATCAATCAATTTTAATGACATGGATCTTATGTTATCTGAAATAAATTAATAAATAAAAAAAATTGTTGAATTAGGATCCACCTTGAATTCGAGTCCAGGATCTCATGATCAGCAATCACACCCGTGACAACTAGACCAACGTGGCTGTTGATTTCACATTATGGTGTTAATGACGAGGTTAATTTATACCAGAAGTGCTTAATGCAGAAGCGGTAATGCGCCACTTAGAAAACGATTATGCTGCAAAGCAATCGATTAGACAAAATACCTACATGTTGTTTTTTTTTTGAACTTTGAAATAAATAGTAATAAATATTTATATTATTTGAACCAAACTCCATTATCTCGCAGAATTTAAGAGCGTAAATTACTAGCAGGATATTAGTGGAAGTATTTTATTAAAGTTCAACATAATTTAGAAAACTTTTGTCATCAACCCTTTCTATATATTTTCAAAACTTTGATTGTTTTGTCACAATTCCCCAAAAAATTTGCAAAAAAAGCAAAGATTTTGCTTTATAATTTTTTTTGTTTTAGTCCGTTTTTGCGATTTCAATGATAATTATTATTAAACTTAAATAAAAATACTACTTTTGCCGTGAAAGGAAAATACTAAGACCTTTATTATTCCGTACGTTCGCGATGTGATGTCTGACTTGATATCAAACTGACGTTGATACCGCTCTCATGTCTTGTCGATATATTATTTTGGCGCGGTATATGATTATTTCTTTATTTGCAACCATATCCTCGTCAAGTAATGACGAGAATTTTCTCGAAAAAAAATATTCTACGTGGTAGAGTCATGCTGCAGTTATATTAGTAGTATAGTTGTAGCACGAATGGGTCGGCTCGACCGGGGAAGGACCACGCTCTCACAGAATACCAGCGTGAAATAGTAGCTTAATGCTGCTGTATTTCGTATGGTGAGTGTAGAGAACCGGAGACCCTTTTTACTGAAAATGAGGCATTCCATCTCAGTCCTCATGGGTGACAACGCATCTGCGTTTTGATTTGTAATGGAAGATAGATGTAGATGTCTGTGGGCCGCAGCAACCACTTACCATCAGGTGGACTGTGTGCTCGTTTGTCAGCCTATTCTATAAAAAAAAATGTGGTTTTTTATCAATATTTATAATTATATTGTGAATAAAATGTAAAATGTACCATTTTGAGAAAAATAATACGATCGACTATTTAATAATGCAAAATAATTCTTTAACTTATACACAATAAAGTAACGATACTATACAAATATATTCCACGATATGCGTCAGGTACCCTTGCCCGTGATGCCCTTAAGAATAACCAGTGCACCAAGCACTGCTAAATAGCAGTGGTACCTAAGCTCTGTTCCGGACACAGCATTGAAAGCTTAATGAAAAAGCTAAGTTAGATAAAAAAATGTTATTGAAGAATGTAGTCATCGTTTTGCTTAAACGCGTGATAAAATCGATGGCCCCAACGAATAAACGTGCAATCGAAAAACGACAACTTTTCAGGAAGATATAAAAACGTTTGGAATCACATAACTTTAATTACATAATAAATAGACAAATATAATGTGTGATCAAATTAAAGGTAAAAAAGATATCTTTCAGCTCATATATTTATTATAAATGAAACATTATCGGTTTACTACATTATTTAAGAAAAACCGTATTAAATTATTATTCTAGTGAATAATATGTGACTTGTTAACATTATTGTATCACTACACGTTTATTCGTGTCATAAATGAAGCTTAAACAAGTGTAGTGAAATGTTGCATGGTTATTCCACGTATATTTTTTCCCTAAGCCTTGCTCTGGTCATCTACATACTTATTCTTGTATATTTTGTTGCTTTTACATATTTGTAAAGATAAAGGCCCGTATATTAGTGTTAACAAGATTGACTTAATATTTATGTAATACGATTTTATTAGTGCATGGTATATAATGTAAATTAGCTATTTTTTTGTTGAAGGTTCAATAAAAAATATTGTTAATAAAAATAATTACTATTTATTTATTCAATTTAGAACGAAGTAGGTACTTATCAAGTATATTATTACTAAAACAAAAACAAGAAAAATGTAACAGAAAACAACTAATAAGTGGTTACTAATAATTCTCGTCACTATCGTTGGTAACTGAGGTGGAATTTAATGGCACTAGATTTTTGTAAAAACAATGGTAATGGTTTGGTATGGCTCCCGAGTCACACAGAGTTATTAAATCTCTATATAAAGGAAGAGGTACGGGTAGCATTCCAGTGTACGCGAGTTTTAGGTTTTCAGCGTGTTCTATAGGTTCCCCTTGTCGCCTTCGTGAGTTAGTCCTCGTAATAGCTTGCATCTCTTGTAATTTGTCTTCAAAACTGTATCTAAAGTAAACTGTATCAGGTTGATTATAAGGAAATTCTACTTCTTTAATTTTGCCCCAGTAAATTTTATTACCATCTGTATTTTTTTACCAATTCTTCCCTTTAATTAATTCTCTAAAATCTATGAAATCAGCTTGCGTCATTTGTTTTACTTGATACTTACGCCCGGTAACTTTGGAATTTACTCTATCAAGGAATACATTTGTTCAGGTGTGTAGATAGTATGCTTTTTCTTAGAACGCTCAATAGCAGCATGCATAGAATCGCCCTCCGATTGGCTATGACCTTTCTTCAAAAACCTATGTGTTATTTTTATGTTGTATTTCTTCGCCGCTAAAGAAAACATGGCGAATACGAAACGATTACGATTTTTCTCTGCGCATGAATCAGAATAAAAGGATATGTTTTATATTCCTAATTCAACGTGTGCCTGGATAAATGAACAAAGACAACTAGCTATTTCTATCGCACCCCTTTTCGCAATTTGACAATGCCAGACGTAGTAGTAACCTTTCTTCTCTAAGATATTATAAATCGTGAAATTGTATACAGGATACTTTCGTTTATAATGAAATATGCCTACTTAACTTTGGGGGATATTTAACACTTTTTCCAGATCAAAACATGCTACAACACTGTCACCTGAACAAAATTTTTCCTTTTCTTGTTCCTTTAATTGCCTTACCATTTGTTTTTCTTTCAAGTGCTTTTCATAGTCAGCTTTTAACTGTTCTTTTCTAACATCATCAGAAGTTTGGTGAATTGAACATATTTCACATAAATCTTTTTAGGTTTGTGAAAGGTTAGGTTAAACTTCGTATTAAATATTATTTCATACTGCCGTTTAGTTGCTTTGCATGTTTGATTGTACTGGTGGTTTGTATCTATCCATTCTAAATATAGTCGGTGCATTTTAGAGACATTCAATGTTTCACGCAGATATTGCTTTTGACTATCTTTACGAGTATAGTGTGATTCACTCTTTCAAATAGATTTATATGGTCAATTATACTTCTCTCAGTCTCTTCTGACATTCTTCTTGGCCTATTCTTATGAGTTCCTGTGTAATCTTTTAAATAATTATCATCTCCCAATTTATCAATATCTGTGTATACTACTTGCTGTGTAATAGACAAGGTACTTAAAAACATAGTTTTACAAACTTTAATCATGGAATTAGTATCATCGAATAGTTGATATGTTAATGTTTGAGTACGATTATTTTTACGTACAACTGTAATTTTTTGACGTTTTCTTTTTTTACATGGCGGTTAATAAAATCCCACTGTTTTTCGTGGTCCCCGATAGCCCAAAAATTTAGAAAAATTTTGCTCCTCATATTTTGCTGTATCTTTTCGTAACATTTCAGTTTGCAGTTGCATGGTGGACCTATGGATTTTTCTACGTTTTGCTTTTTAGTTCTAACACTTTCATAACTTTTACCAGAATTTTTAAGAGTTTTATTTTTGCGATCTTTCCATAAATTAGGATCTATTTTTCTCTTTTTCGTAAGCAGTTCTATAGGAGTGACGGGTCTTTCCTCCGATTCTGTAGTTACAATATCCTGTGATATATTTTGTGTTTCAATACTATGTAAAAAACTCTCTAAGTCGGAAATATTTCTTAGATCGTAATCATTATTAATGTATAAAACAGTTGGCGTGGCTATAAAATCTATTTTTTGTTGGATTGATGGAGGCATTACAATAGAATTATCAGTAGTCTGTAAATCATCATTATTATTTACAGATTGCAATGGAGTAGGGTATTCCATTTCAGGTAGTAATGATTCAATAACATTATGAGAAATATCTAAAATGTCATTTGTTGGTAAATTTGGTGGTGTGGTATTATTATCATTTGGAGATACATTTACTACTATTAATGGAGCCGGTGTAATAAAATTATCAGGTTCTGAGTTGACTTCTTTGAGGTCTGATATGCCATCAATGGGGAAAGAACTTCGCGAAAGATATGTGAAATTTTCTGAAACAAATTACTCAAATGACTACATTAATATGTTTTCAATAACTATTTATTTACATTTACACTCAGCCCCTCACCCCCACGCAGCCCTTGGTAAGTTTTGAAATATGTATATATATTATATCTAACCAACAACCAAAGAAAAAGTTTCATCATTCTCACCTTTAATTTCATTTTGTTCTTCAAGTTCAATATACTACTGTCATCTTCATTAATAATATTATCTGAAAAAAAAAAAGTACTTAACAAGGATCAAAAAATGTTTACTCGATACAATATCAGCTGAGCCTGTAAAAGCAAATAATCCTTCTAAATAGAATAGTTACATAATACATAAGACAATAAATTAGCTAAATAATAGGCAACCGCCGCGCGGTGCCTGTGTCAGGTGATTTTCGTTCTTATTACATTTAACTAAAAAGGTTGTCGGAGTCCACATAACATGGTACCACCTGTTATAAAGGGAAAGAATAATAAGTATCCAATTTCCATTGATTAAGGTGTGTATCCTCTTACTTACAAAAGTAGTTAATCAATAATAATATGTAGGTACATACCGTGTATCCTATAGTTCACCAATTTTATCTTTCTGCAACGACTTGAAGTACCTCTGCGTCTATTCATAATTATACTTATCACTCATTAATGATTTAATAAGAATATTAACAACAATGCATGTGCTCAGTAAACAAACGAAATTACATAATAACTCGAGCAAATTCGCATCCGAACTGACCTTCCGGGGTCTAGGGATGTCACGCGCATCTTACATACCCCGCCCCCGCTTCGCCCCTTATGTAACGAGCGATTGCAATAGACACTATTGGGAAAGTATCCGTTTATTAAACGGTTACTACCAATAACTTCAAATTCATGATCGAATAATATTAGTGCTTAAACCTTTACAAAAGTATAAAAAACAAGAGAAAATGTTAAAAGACAATAGCATAGCTGTAATTATTATATTCAAAGTTTTGCCGCCTGCAATGAGGCATTACTGATAAAAGTCGCTTGCGTTTTTACACGAAAAATCGTGCAAGAGTTATTACCCAAAGGAAAGGATAGACACGAGCGGCAGATTGATTTAACACGTTTATTCTGGTGAACTCAAATAAACTAATAATCGGCAATAAGCGCATGTTTTATTATTCATGTGATATGTAAATATTTTTTTCCGTACAATAAAGGAATATTGTGCTATAAAAGGCTTATTCGAAATCTAAAATATTCAAAAAAAATATACTTAGGTGTATAATAGGCTAAGCAAACGAAAAATACGAAAAAAAAAATTTGGGTAAGAGCTCTTGCACGTTTATTCGTTGGGGCCATCGAAATGATTATTTATTTGTCTTCGCGTCGTGGACAGAAGTCCCTGTTTTCTAATATGCGTTTTAGATTGACTCAATATGCCAAGTGCAAAAGTGACTCAATACACCAATAAGGAAACAGCTTTAGGCTAAAAGAAGTGTTAAATGTGGTATAGATTATTATTTGTAGTATATTGGGTGATGTAATGGAATCCATCATACTTTTTCCTATCTTGTTGGTTTTCGATAGTTGGTCTACACTTATACCGATGACGGGAAACAGAGTCAATGTTGCCAAAAGTCTAGTGCTGAAATCGCCAATCAACTTGTTAACTCATGTCAATAATAAGAATACTATTAAACTAAAAAGTTTTATTTTCAGACGTGCAGGTTTTCTCACGATGTTTTTCTTCACCGCCGTGCACGTGGTAAATCAGCACTTAAAATTGCAATTAACATTTTCATTGATGGCGACGGGGGTCGATCCCGGTTAGCTCGCATACTGTGAAATTTACAACGAGCGCTCACCAAAGAAAATTATTAATTACCAACATTTCTTGAATAAGGGTGGCAAACGAGCACATATTCCACCTCATGGTAAGTAGATGCTATTGCCTATAGACATCTACATCTAACATCGAATAAAAATCAAAATCAAGATACGTAATCCCCCCGTGTTACCTTTAAAAAACGTCTCCGGTTCTTTACTCTCACCATATGAAACACAGCAGCACTATCCTGCTGTTACACGCTGGTATTTTGCGAGAGCATTGAAAGGTCGCGTGTCACTGCCACATTAGAAGCAACATTTCGCGATCAAGTATAAAAAAAGTAATGTTACAGCCTATATAGGTCCCACTGCTGGGCACAGGCCTCCCCTCATTTCTGAGAGGGTTTTAGGGCAAGGAAGTGTCCGCCGCGCTGCCCCAATGCGTGTTGGCGAACTTCACATGTCTTCGAAATATTTTTTTTTCATATACCTCGGACATGCAGGTTTCCTCACGATGTTTTCCTTCACCGCCGAGCACGTGGTATATCAGCACGTAAAATTGCAATTAACAATTTCATTGGTGCCGGCGGGGATCGAACCCGGGTTGCTCGCGTTCTGTTATATTTACAGCGAGCGCTAACCATCTGAGCTACCACGGCTCTCGAGTACAAACAAAATAAGTTTTACTTCCTGTATAGGAAGTAAAACTTATTTTTGAAGCTTTGTTTGAAGCGTGTGCATGATGTGATTTGCTTCTAACTTTAGATCTGAAATCAATATCTTAATTAAATCTCACTACTGAATAATGAGAATGAATTTACACTTGACTTATTTTAATGTCAACATTTATATTTTTAAAACATTCCCCAGGAAGATGTTGATTTATCTTTAATATAAATTGTATCATTATATAGAGTGACAACCTTGTTGGATGTAGTTGTTGATGTTGGATGTAGGTGTTTTAGGACAGTGCTTTGTGTCATTACTTGGGAGAGACTTGTGGTAGGATGTGGTGATAATGGTGATGACGATGAGGTTACACATTAATATCCTCCAGACCAAATTTCGGTCTCGACGACCAGTTTTGACAAAGACTAGTCATCTCTGCAACAGTATTATGGTGCTGGTGTGTGTGCGATGGGACCGCAATCCGATAGAAGAGATATAAAGCGCAGCACATTTAAATACAGAATGCCTCTGGGTTGGTACTGAGTAGTGTGACTTTAAGTTTTATATTGGCACTGTTTGTATTTTAGTGTTACCCAAATTAATAAAAAAAACCAGAAACAATATTTATAACTATTTAGTGAATAATAACATGAAATGTAATTATTTGTTGTCGACTCATAGTTGCCTATTTATTTTTTGCATTTCTTAAAAATCATTCAGAATCGAACTAATGACACGAAACAGGTAAAACGACAATCAAATGATATCTTTATTTAAAAAAATATTATTTAAAGAGACAAAGTTAGATTTTTTTTAAATTAAACATGATGATAACATTTGAAAATATTTTTGATATTTTTATAGTTTCTTTTATGAAATGCATTGTGCTACGTGCCGTCGTTAGTATGCGTACAGCTCTTTTGGCTGCAAATTGAAACCACAGTCAGCGTAATAACGAACAATTCATATTATTTCACTAAAGAATAATAATAGTGAATCTTGACATTTGTATTTTCGAAATGAAATAAATTATATAAATAATAGAAGTGGAATTATTATTAACAATAAAGGAAAGGAAAAATAAAACTGTATCTTCATAATGTTTTATAGATGTAATAACCAACTTACAGACAGCCTGATGGTAAGTGGCTACTGGAGCCTATAGATACCAGCAGCCAACTTCAAACAAAGAAGACTATGTAGATTCTTTGTCACCCCTTAGGACTAAGGTAGAATGGCTCGCAGTCTAGAATGTCTTACTCTCATTTTGTGATTATAGGAGCATGTTGCCATATTTGTCAAGCTTGAAATGCGAGTGAGTAAGTAGTTTTATTTTTTAAATCTTATAGGTTCCTTTAGAAGCCATTGCTGCATATCTTCAATCTCGCCTCTTACGATATTCATAGGCCTACATGGAGTAGTGGATATTCTTACACCGTTACAACACAGTCATCTTAGAAAGAGATGCAGTAATTCGAACAGATGGAGAACTATGTTTGACCTGGTAAAAGATGCAGAAAATTAGTGGATGTAGACGGCACGGGTACGTGCTTTATGGCATTTCTTAGGAGAGGTGTTTATTCACCAGTAACTTTGTGATAGGTTCCGTTTTTAATATGACTTAAATTGTTCGATTCAACTGGCGAATGACAACTCTCTTATAATTTCACTGCAAAATTGCGCAAAAAATCTGAAATGTTCTGAGTTTATTTTTGAGAGTACTTGCTGTACACCCTCTAAAAGGGGCTTGATGATTGTAATTGCAGCCGTCTTTGATACTGCTCTTTATTCATCATCATCATCTTACAGCCCTTCACAAGTCCACTGCTGAACATAGGCCTCCCCCAAGGTATGCCACAAAGCACGGTCCTGAGCCACCTGCATCCATCGACTTCCTGCATGTCTTACCAGGTCGTCACTCCATCTAGTGTGGGGTAGCCCTACATTTCGCCTACTGGTACGAGGCTGCCACTCGAGAACCATTTTCCCCAACGGTTGTCGGTTCTTCGAGCTATATGGCCGGCCCATTGCCACTTCATCTTACTAACCCGTTGGGCTATGTCGGTCACTCTGGTTCTACTGCGGATATCCTCACTTCTAAGTTTATCACGCAGAGAAACTCCGAGCATAGCCCTCTCCATAGCTTGCTGAGCAATTTTGAGCGTCCTCATACGGCCAGCACTGAAGGAACACGTCTCAGTTCCGTAGGTCATCACTGGCAACACGCACTGGTTAATTTTCAGGTTTTGATGTATACCTGACGAGAAGATGTGTCGTAATTTCCCGGACGCTGCCCAGCCGAGTTGAATCCGTCGATTGACCTCTCGGTCGAAGTTGGACTTACCTAGTCGGACTATTTGTCCCAGATAAATGTACTTGTCAACAACTTCAAGCTTAGTGCTCCCAACAACTACTGGCATTGGTGTGACATGGACATTAAACATGATGATTAAAACTACTTTTACGGATTTTATCGCGTTTATTTTTTTTTCAAAAATTAAACGCGATAAAATCCGTAAAAGTAGTTTTAATCATGTGTAGTGTTCGCGTAATAATAAGAAATCATTATTAAACATGATCTTTGTTTTGTCCATGTTCATCTTAAGACCTATCCGTTGGGAGACACTATTGAGGTCATTGAGCATAGTGCTAAGGTCCTCCAGCGATTCTGCCATAAGGACTATATCGTCGGCAAATCGAAGGTGAGTGATGTACTCGCCATTGATGTCAATACCGTATCCTTTCCAGTCCAGTAGCTTGAAAACGTCTTCCAACGCAGCGGTGAAGAGTTTCGGGGATATAACGTCACCCTGTTTTACAACTCTCTGCAGTTGGATAGGTTTCGAACTCTGGTTCTGTACTCGGATAGAAATCGTAGCCCTACTGTACAAACACTTCAGCCCCTCGATATACCGACAGTCAACTTGGCACCGCTGAAAGGCCTGTAGCACCGCCCAAACTTCGACGGAATCAAAGGCTTTCTCATAGTCCACATACGCCAGGCAAAGTGGCAGATTGTACTTTTTGGTCTTCTGTACAATCTGCCGCAGAGTATGTATGTGGTCTATGGTACTGAAGCCTTTTCGGAAACCGGCTTGTTCGAGAGGCTGGAAGTCGTCGAGTCTGCGTGCGAGACGATTCGTAATGACTCTCGAAAA